ATCATTACTATTTTGGGATTTGAAGATTTGGCAGTGCGGCACAGCATTTGATGTCTTTAGATGACCTGCACCATATAGTAGAAAAAAATTTTTTTTTAGCATTTTTAGTTAATAATCAATTCAATTACCATAATTAATAACGCTTTTCTTATAAAAGTAAATAAACAAAATCAACGGTATGATCTCATCACACTAACTAAATATTAAAGATGCTTCGCTACCCCTAAAAAAAGCAACATATATGATAACAAAAAAACAATAATTGACTTGTTGAAATTAAATAGCTCTTCTTAGAATGTAAAATAAAACAAATTTATTCATACCAAACAGTTCTCTTTGGGTTGGAAAAAGATATTATTATTATTATTGCATGATAAGTGTTTATCACGTGGAAAAAAGGTGTTTACATTGAAACTGACACATCCAATGAATGCAGTTGTCAGTAACAACTAGATTTAGATATCACGTGTTGAGATCTTAAACTTGAAGTAGTTAATTCTTGTTTTTCAGACATCATTTTTGATGATTATTGTTTTTAGAATGATTTGGAGTTTTATCATGGTTTTTTTTTTCAATATCTCATTTATTAATCAATTAATATTAAAATAATTGGTTCATGAATATGCGATCTACAACATTGGGTAACCTCCGTTCTACAAAAAATTTTTTTTTACCTTTTTTGGCGGAAAAATATTTATTATCTCATCGTTTGCATCATCATTACGATGATGCAACGGTTCTTTGAACTGATTTTCCCATAATCCAAGAATAAGCCAAATTCGTTCTAACAGGAAAACTTGAAACAAGCCAATTCAATAAATATTGGCGGAAAGGCCAGCCAATACAAAAGGTGTCAGAATTCAACTGATTTCTAACGATTTTGGCCAAATCGTTAGAATCACCAGCCCCATAAAATATATTAGAAGGTAGATCAGTTTTTCGCGCCATGTTCGTTTCTATTATTCCAGGTACTATCACAGACACTTTTACATTATCAAAAGATGCTATGTAACGAAGATCTCGTGCAAATGATATTAATGCTGATTTT